AACACATGACTGATGAAATGCATTCACACTCATCATTTAACATGGTTTTCAAAAGAACCCTGTGAACTCCTGACAGTCTCCATGTTATGATGGAGGACCTTGGGCTCAGAAAAGTTAACTGATAGAAAAACTACCCAACAGCCTACTGTGGCAGAATGAAGCCTAGAATGTAGTTCAAGTGAGGCAAAATCCCCAAGCCTGTGAAGGCCAGAGAGGAGCAACAGGACAGCAAGCAGTGAGGGCTCTAGACCAGCAAGTGAGTTCCTAAAGAGGAGAAGTTGAACCAAAATTGTTTACACTTCCTATTGTTTTTAGAGAAGCCAAAAAATATTTATATGTGAAATTTTGAAATCTGAGGCCATCTGTTTGCAACTTTTTTTTTTTTTTTTTTTTTTGGAGCTTGGGGTTGAACTTGGGTCCTTGTGCTTGTGAGGCAGGCAGCAAGCAACACTGAGCCAAATCCCCAGCCCTGTTTATAACTTTTGTTCTAGAACAACACATTCTTACATGTCTTTTTTTTTTTTTTTTACTCTCCAGACTAAATTTATTTCTGCAGTAATTATATTTTTCAAAGTTAACCTCATACAAGCAAAGAGTAGAACCGTGGTTGTCAGAAGCTGGGGAGACCGTGAGGAGGAAAGAATGGGGAAAGAGTTTATTCATGAATTTCTGAGATACAGGTAAGAGAAAGAAGTTCTGCTGTGCTAATGCGCAGTAGGGTGATTTTCAGGGAGATTTGGAAATGTTCATCCCGAAGAAATGATAACTATCTGAGAAGACTGTTTTATCCTGATTCATGTCCATACATTTTACTTGTCAGTTAAAAATATTTTAAATGTTTGCTTGTTTTTCTCTTTATGTAAAATAAACCAAGTGAACTTTTTCTAAATTCAAAACCTGGACTCTGACGTCCAACAATTAGCTTGAAGAGTGGATCTGAAAGAGCACTAACAATTCCCCGCCCGGTGCCCAGCAGCTGCCTCTTCCTGGGGCTCCTTCATTTCAGTGCAGGACACTGCCTGTGCCCTCTGCCCTGATGCTGAGACAAGATCTTGGGAGTTAACTTTTTTTCCTACCCCATACTCTCATCCCAAGCCCAACACATCAAAACATCCAATTAGCTCCCCCTTTAAAATTAAACCCTAAGCCACCTAGGAAAAGAGTACAAGCTTCATTCCTGCCACCGAGGGTGGAGCCTGCTCAGCCACAGCGATATCTTGACCACCCTCTGGGCTTCGGCTTGGCCCCTTACCGTCCATCTTCTGGACAGTAGTCTTCAGTCTCTTTTTCTGCCCTGTGAAGATAATCGTTCACAAGATCATAGTAAAGCTGAAGTTCTTGAATTAAAGTAGAAATTAGGCTGAAGTACGGGTAGCTCAGGGATAGAGCTTTTTCCAAGTATGCTCAAAGTGCCCCACAGCAACACACACACACACACACACACACACACACACACACTCACGCACACAGTAGAAAGGTCACAGTAGGTAAATTGTGACAGTAAGTGGTCTGTGTGTTCAGATATTATGATATTATCCGCACCTCGATAACAAATGCCCTCCTGTTTGATCTCATTGAAAGCATCATCTCAAAGAGGCTGTCCGTGACCCACCCTAAAATAGCTTTCCAGAGTCTCTTTCACATTCCTCTGGTTTATTTGTTTGTTTGTTTGTTTGCTTTTGCAATTGCATTCTTAGTGGCTGGCTGACCTGCTTCTTTTTCCTTCTCATGTTTATAGAGCATCTCTCCTTAGCCTGAGCACTCTGAGAGGACAGAGATTCTACTGATCACCATCATAACGCGGAGTGTGAAATGCCCACGTGGATAAGAATCCTTGACTCATGGTCGAAGCCCAGTAAATACTGGGGTTTACGTGACACCGGACCACGGCTGACACAAAGGAGGTGCTTAACGAGATTTTTGCTCCAATGAATGGCATTAACATGTTTTATAGCTGGCTTATGCCTGCAGAAGAAGCTTATGCCTTGAGAACTTTAGAATAGCCTGTACTTGATTCCCGGAGACAGCACAACGCACAACAGTTGCCAAGGATTTTATCCTTCTTTACACAGTCTAGTTCAGAATAAAGCAGCTAACAAGATTTTTTTAACACTTCAGACGTGATTGTTCCTTAAGTATTTTCTGCTTTGAAGAATTACATGCCAAAGTCTTATTCTTAGCTACAGTATTGCTTCTTTTGGTATTAGGATCCCAATCTTCCACACACTTACAGAGAAAAGGTGAAATATTCATTATTGGGTTATCAGCAATAGTACATATATGTTATGTGAAAGAAACCAGACGCCACACACACTTAAATATTGAGAGATTTCTCCCACGTGAGAAACCCAAAATATAGATAGCAGAATAACAGAGAATTCCTAGGAAGCAGGGAGAGAGAGCTCCTGAAAGAGGGAAAGGGACCAAGAGGGTGGAGTGAGGGAAGCGTCGGGAGGGTGACAGAAAGCAGAAGTGAGAAGTGTTCCGCACATGTGCCGGTTTTCCGTGAGGAATGCAATCGCTATGTTCTCCAAACATGTACAAACAGAACTAAAAGTGGAAAAGCAAATATTTACAGAAATGACTTTCCACGCTCGATTACTACGACTTAAAGGTGGCCTAAATCTTCTGTGGACACAATATTTTGTTCGTAGAGTTGCTAGTGACTGTAATTAGATTTTAATAAAATTGTGACCAGAACAAGGAGAAGCAATTATTGGAGTGAGCCCTGCCTTGGCCTTAGAGGTGGACAGAGCCCCGAGAAGGCAGCGATCAGAATCCTCAGCAGACGGAAGGAGTTCATTCCCACCGCGGTGCTTTCTCTGCCATCTGCTCTCCTTTACAGGCTCTCTTTCTCTTCATTCACTATTTTTTTTTTTACTGTGAACAATTTTGAGCAAATAAGAACACAAAATAGTATATCGTGAATGCTGATGTCCATAAACTAGATTGAACGACTGTTAACCTTTTGCCATATTTTCCTAATCTATTTTCGGCTCAAGTTATTTAATGTAAATTATAGACAGCATGGTAATTTGTCTCTCTTCTGCTTTTCCAAAAAATAAGAGCATTTCCTTAATCACAACACTGTCACCACACCTAACATAGTTCAGAATGACTCATTTGTTTGTTTTTGTTTGTTTGTTTGGGACAGGGTCTCACTATGTAGTTGAGACTGACCTGGAACTCACTGTGTAGCCCAGGCTGGTCTCAAACTCACAGTAATCCTCCTGCCTCAGCCTCCCGAGTGCTGGGATTATAGGTGTGGGCCACCATGCTCAGCTTTCTTTTTTGTTTGTTTGTTTGTTTTTGTTTTTTGCAGAATGACTTCTTAGCATCATTTAATATATAAACCCTATTCAAATTCTCCATAGTGTTGTAAAGTTTCAGTTACAAAAGCTTTGTCCAGCAGGGAGTTCATTGAGGTCCATATACTGCTTCTTATTATTATGTACTTAAATTTCTTCTAACTTAAAACATTCTTCCTTTAAATGTCATAACAATATTTCATTTTATTCATTGCTTTGTTTTCATAATAATGATTCATTAAGGAGATGGGTAGCTGTGCTATGAAATGCGCACACCTTCTGAATTAGTTTAAAATTTCTATAGATGCTCACTTTGTTCCTCTACCTCTTCATATTTATTATGAGTTGGAAGTTAGATCTAAAAGTTCAGTTAGGTTACTCTCGAGGTGCTTTTGTTCCTGAAGACTGAGATTTGTAGCCATCACTTTATTGTAATTAATTAACAAAATAACAAAATAATTAACAAAACTAACAAAAATTAAAGTCTGAATGAATTACATTCGGTCATAAGGGAAAAGAGACAAAAGGCCAGGAGGTGAGGTGGAGTGGAGATTATTCAATTATTACCACCCACTGCCTTTCATGGTCTGATATTTTGCTGTAGTCCTCATAATTATGGCTTGCAGAGGTCTCTAGAATTTGCTTGGATTTAAGAAACATGGAAAGGATATGAAATATGGAAAGAATATTAATTTTATAATTTATTATGAAGAACAAACATTTTTAAAAAATTGGAATGTAACCAGTGGAAAGCGTAGTGCATTTCCCCCACCCATAGGCCTGTGGTTTCCAAACTATTTCCATGTTAGAATCATCTGAGACTCATGAAAGTTCTACCCCCAGAGATTCCAGTTTAATTGTTCTTGGGTGGGGACTTGGAATCAGTAGTTTTGAAAAGTTCCCCAGGTGGTCTAAATGTGCCACCAGGGCAGCTGAGAAACATTGCTATAGAAATTTGTTTGATAAACACAAAACTGCAATTGGGAACTTAGTGCTATAAATAAAGTCCGAAAGGTCTATTCATTTGTTAGTGCTCAAATATCTGTGTAGAAAGGAGTCATTGGCATGGAGGGGGAGAAAGGAAAAAATAAGAAAGAAGAGAGAGAATAAAAACCTTGAAATTTTTTTTTGGTACAGGGATCGAACTCAGGGCCTTGTGCTTGCAAGGCAGGAGCAGCACCACTGAGCTAAACCCTTGGCCCCCCCTTGAATTCTTATTTTCTATTTTATTTTCACTTTTTCACCCCCTATGAAATCTCTGGTTAATAGCTGTAGAGTAGACCCCTAGACTTTATTGAAATATACAAGAAGGGTGATTTTCTTTTTCTATTTTTAATCTCTTTTGCTATAGAGTTCCATTCTGACTAAAAACTAGTAAAGGGAAGAAAATATCATTTCTCTTTTCTTACGAGATTTATTCATAACTGGGCTGGGATTTAGCTCAGTGGTTCTGCCGCCTGCCTTGCAAGCACAAGGATCTGAGTTCGATCCCTGGTACAAAAAAAAAAAAAAAAAGATTTATTCATAACCGATAAGCATTCCTCTGAAAAAGTAATTTCCTTTAAGAGTACTTGATATATGAACTTACTGTCACTGTTTTGGCACCATTAGCAGATGGTGCCAAATGTGTATAATCTCTTAAGACATTAGGTAATAACAGTACAGAGTCATTATATTTTGGAAGAAATTTAAATACTAAGCCTATTGAAAATAAATATGCTGTGTATGCATTCTTTCAATAATTGACAAATGCATAAGAGACCTGCATGGTAAAATCACTGGACTCTTGATCTGGTGCTTTACAAAACTGCACTCTCTTCAATGACAGTGACCTTGACCCTTTTTAATTCTTAGCAGAGAGCTATGGAAGCACATGTGAACGTGTTTTACTCTTAGTATGTGCAATCAAAAAAGCTAGAGATTGCTAAGCCAAATGCCCATGCCAACTTCTAGTCACAGAGTTTCTCAAAATATGACAACAAAGTATCACTTAGGTTTTTCCTTATTGAAATTATAATTTTATTCCCTCACTGTCAACAAAGAACAGCACACTGAACACTTAGATTGAAATTTGAGGGGCTGCCAAAACTTTGAGACAGAAAATTACATACATGAATTTTTCTAAGTTGCATCTCACACAATAGTTTAATTTTCACTCTAAACATCCTGTCTCTCCACAAGGGGCTTTCATCAAGTGACATTATCCCATCTCTGAACTTGGAGAATCATTCTCTCACGTTGACTCCATATTTGACCCTGCATTTGAGAGCACTGACTACCGCAGTCATACACCAGGAACAGTGCATATACCTAGTGCCCAGCTTTTCATTACTAATGCAATCTCCCACCAAAGTAAACCGAGGAGTTGAAGATACGGTTGACTCCAGAGCTAGGGAAGATCAATGTAAGGGATGAGCCTGGATCTTCTTGCTATGATAGACATTAGGAGGAATGGAAAAGAAAGGAAAAAAGATGAGAAACAGAGAGGAGAAGGGAGGAGAGGGAAAGAGGGGAAGGGGAGGGAGGGAGAGAGAGAAATAGAGAAAGACTGAAAGATAGAGAAGACAGAAAAGAAGAGTGGAGGAAAGAAAGATGGCCGTTCTTATGATGCAGGAGCAGAACTGGAGAGGATTCCGATAGCCAAATCTGAAACAACTTTGTATACCAAAATAATCAAGTGCAGCAATAAACAATAAAATATTGAAAATGACATTTATGAGTCATATTAATATATATAGTAATTAATGAATTAACAAGTGAGTTGCTTACAGAAAAATTGCAAAGTTAAGTAGTAAGCGTGTAAGGAGTGTGGGAGTTTCACAATCACACCATAGTGATTCCAGTTGTGTACACATTCCAGAGAAGCAAGAGAACTACTACATCACAATTATGTCACACAATTGTGTCACAAGTTGTTCGCTTTATTATCTTTTTTTCTACTCATTTCCCCCAAACATCTAAAGAAGAATCAAGTTTTCACAACCATCACGGTAAAGATCAGATCAATCAAGAATCCTCAAAGACTGCTAAATCCATGGAAAGTTTTTGAGACTCGGATATTTGCATGACCTTAAAATATTTTCTTGCACAGCACTGAGTATTTACAAGGGAGAAAACATTGACATTAATTATACAGTGAAGAAGTAGACACCATTACTGAATGAGCAAAAGACAGAAAGCCTTTTTATCAACTAAGACAAGAAGTTAGATATGATATGTCCTCCTGTGTACCACACGAGAAAGACAATGTCACAGTATTCTGGCCAAGAATGTATAGCTTCAGTCTAATCAGGAAAACACACCAGATAACTCAAAAGAAAGAACATTATATTAAAACAAACATATAAGATCAGGTAGACTGTAACTTCACAAAGGTCAACTGTCATCAAATACCAAGATGAGTGTGGGAAAGTCGTAGATTTAAGAAACCTGAAGAGGTGATACAGTGTAACTGACTGGACTAGTTTTCCTAGGTAGCAGGGTTTCTTCAGACTTAGGGATTTCAGTGCTAAACTTGAGAATATTCCAAGTATGAATGATCAGGTTTGAAAACAATAACAAATTGCAGTAGTTGACACTAGACCATTACTGTACCGGGGAGAGGGTTTCCGATGGACTGAAAATTTGTGGAAAATAATCTATAAGTCTATTGGGCTATTATTGCAACCTTTTGGAAATTTGAAATTATTTCCAAATAGGACATAAAAATAGAGCTGAACAGTGTGGATGTCTGGCCCCAAACAATGTATATGGGTAATATGTTGAACCACACATATTTAGTATTTAATACATTAACTCTTTGCAAAATAATTTTCTTGGTTTGTGGCTTACAAGTAGACACTGAATGTTTACCTTATCACACAATTCACATTCCATTAGTCATTCTTCTTTGTTGTTTATATTGCTCTTGTTACAGCTTTAGATGTTAGTAAGAAATACCCAGCACTTTGAAGTCAAATCCTAGTTCTCTAAACAAGGTATGTAATTTACCAAGTTTCACAGGCTCTTTAAACCTTTAGTGCCTATTTATTTAAAAACAAAGGGGAGTAGGAGGAGATTAAGGATGGCATTGATCCTAAGTATACATGTGTTCACACTCACCACTGAAATTGGGATGCACATCTTCAACTGATGATATTACTAAAAATGTAGTACTCATTTCACAGGGCATATAAGAAATAATAAATTAAATATGTTATTTGTATTCATGAGATAAATTAGCATTATGGAAAATAATGCCTCAATTGACTTAGAACACATTATGCTAGGCTTTCCATACAAATGTTGCTTTACGCACTTGTCACCACTCTAATAATGCCTGTTGGACCTCTGAGCATATCTAAAAATGGAATTATTGAACTGGAGAAAATTATAGGCATAATGTAAAGGGAGCTATGCACACAGAGCTTTATGCCAGGCACTCTTTCAAGCTTTTCACATATGTTAACTCATGGAGCTCTTGCACTTCTCACTGGATAGTTGCACTTCCTGTTAACT